GACTCGACAGCACACAACAAGCAGTAAGTAGAGGGCAACATTTCTCTAAATGTGCTTCATAGTAACTTAATAGAAATAAGGTAGTTCTGGGTTAGGAGATGTCAGGTTGAGGCAAAGGACCTCCTCCTCTTTAAATTTATAAATTGGTACAAATTAATCAAGTGGCGAAAGATTCGTATAAAGTTATTAAGGAAGAAATCAGAAAATCTGAGGAGAAAAATCTCAGTGTCCACATTTAACTCAACAAATAATTATTGCCATTTTAGAGAGGGTAGAAGGTGCTCTGGTTTGCTTACCTTATACCAAGTGACGTTTGGTTTGACACTGGAAGGAAAAAATCCATCTACATTTGGACAAATGATCTTCTGAAGACTATGTTCTAGATACAGTCTACGCACTGGGAGTTTCATGGAGGATTTGAAGCATCTATCCTTTTGAACTACTTCCAGGGGAAATGCCACTTTGCTGCAATAAGTAGTGTTCCTGAAAGAGAAATATCCCAATGAATGGGCAGTCTTATTTGCATGTGGTTTAATACAGAAACCACATGAAAACAATTTAAGTGAAGTCATGTTATATACTGAGACTTCATTTATATGTGTAAGTTCACGAAAGAATTAAATGGTGAAGGTATTTCCTATATCAATTGACATTACAGAATTTTAAAAATCACAATTATTATTAATGTACTAAAATATTTATATTTTAAGATATGTTCCCCAATGTATATATACCATTTTACACTTAAAAACATTTCTCAGTAACACTCAGTGTTGGCAAAGCTATGGTGAGAATGGCATATTTACTCATTGCTTATAATGGTATAAAAAACCTTTGGGGGAGAAATATGTTTCCAGAGACCCTCACCTCAAAAAAAAAAAAAAAAAAAAGTCTTAGATTTAGACCTAGTAATTCTATTTTTGGAAAACTTTTCAAATGCTAGAAGCATAGAAAGGGGGAATGGAAAGACAATGCATGATAAAAAATATCCATCACAGTGTTGTTCCAGCAAAAAAAATATAGGAATCAATAGGAAAGTCTACCAAAAGGAAAACTGTAATGAAAATTATGGCACAATCATTCAACGTTGTTGTAAACC